AAAAAGGGAAAGGAAAAAATATGAGAAGAGGAAAAAAATGGAAACAAGGTCTTTGCAAATAGGGAAGGGTGGAGGGGTGAAGGGAGGGCAAGGGAAGGGGAAAAGAATAAGAACCAAGAGACTCCTGTAATGGTACAAGATTCCAATGATGAATGTAACTGTATTTTATACCTAAAATGTACCAATAAAGTTAATGGGGGGAAAAAAAGAGAGAGAGAAGTGTGCATAGAAATATGTTAATAAATGGTTAGGTTGGTGGGTTTTGTGCTAAGGCACAAACTGTATTCTGGTCAATTAACCTGCTTTCTGTTCTTTACTGTGGGAGTAGAAGCTGTGCAGAAGTGTTTAGGGTCCCTTTTTTTTTTTTTTTTTTGGTACCAGGGATTGAACTCTGGGATCTTGCGCTTGCCAGTCAGGCGGTGAAACTACTGTGCTAAATCCTTGGCCCCAAGGATCCTTTTCTTATCCAGTCACAGTTTATGAAACTAGCCTGCTTTGTAAAATATCAAACTTAATGTGTTAAGCTCTAAGCCTTTTTCTCTGTGCTTGAGGACCTCTAGAGTTTCAGTCAGGTCTAGATTGTCAAGAACATAAGAAACTGTCATTTTCTCAGAGTAGAAAATGTACAGTAAAAAATTTTATGGTCACAAAAAATGGAGGTTCCAAAAGTTGATGTAAACACAAAATTCAGACATATAGTCACAAATATTAATCTTTAAAATTCTAAAGCAAACACTTAAAGGAAACTAAATGTTCTGTAATGGGATTGGGATAGGAGGGTAGCAGATAAAACATGGAATATTCCTATAATTCATATTAATGGAGTTAAATTTTATATAGCCACAATTTCTGACTGTTAACATGTAAAAATGCTTGTGACATAATATGGAAAAGTCAGAATATACATTTCCTGTATACAGTTTTAGTTTTTCACTAAAACTACTTATATTTATGAACAAGATGAAAGTTCATAAAAACGACATATTTATGAACTATATTATAATAATCAAAGTGCAAGTAATTTTTCCTGTTTTACATTTTATATTTTCAGTAATGCTGTAGAGAATTTGTGCTTGAAAAGAAATTAACTACTTATTTTTTTAAATGAAGTCTGAATTTGAGGTCTCATCAAGGTTTCTTGTTCAGAAATCTGTGGGCAGAAAGTTAGATTCCTACCCTTTGGCTAAAGCTAGCAGCTGGACTTGTGTGAAAATGGAACCAATAGGGAAGCCTGTTCTACTTAATCCCTCCAGAAGAACCCTATCTTTGATACACTTTTCCTTCTGTCTTTTTATTTTCTTCTCACAATTAGGGGACTGGGCTATGCCTGGGTAGTTGTGATTTGACAAACCTGTCTGCAGTGTCTCAAATTGTCTCCTTCCATTTTTCTTTCTAGGAAGTGCATTTTCAACTGAGCACCTCAAGCTTCAGCTCCAGAAGGAAGCCCTAAATGAGTTGAGGAAGGAGTGTACTGCAAAAAGGTAAATGAAAACCCGAGTGTAATTGCTGTGAGTGTTAAGTTTACTGTGAGGATAGATTTGGAAAAGTAGCGATCTTGAGCTGGTGATATCACTCAGTGATAAAGTGCTTGCCCAGCATGTGCAAGGCTGAGTTTGATTCTCAACACCAAAAACAAAACAAAGTAGCGTTCTTTAAAAATTGCTGGTATCAATTTATATTCTATATACCTCAATACTGATTTATTTATTTCATAAATATTTAAGTGCCAACTTGATGTCATGTACTGTGCTAGAGGCAGTTATGAAAGCTGCTAATATATAATCATAATCAGAAGCACAGTGTTCTAGTTTCCCAAGCTACAGCACCAGGAATTAACCTTCTCTTCCTGTCTTCTAAAAACAGTTGCACTTATGTGGGTTTTTTTCTTCAATAATTTCTTCTGATCTACTCCTGCTTCTTGATAGCTTTTGGATTACCTCAACAGTACCTAGGAAAATCTCTCCAACTTCTTGCCATTTAGCTTCCATTCTTCTCCTCTTAAAATAGTCTTTTTAGCACATTTTTCTCTCTTTTTTTTTTTGGTACCAGGGATCGAACTCAGGACCTTGTGCTTGCAAGGCAGGCACAATGCCACTGAGCTAAATCCCCTTCTCTTCTTAATAAAGTGATTGTTCAGCTCACTTTTCAAATAGCTTTCAGTACATTGGTATTACACAACTATAATTTTAGCCACTCCCCAGCTTAGCATGGTGTGAATAGTTTTTCTTTTTCCCAACACATGTTTACTTCATTGTCACTTCTGTTCCTTTTCTCATCTTCACTCACCTTCCTGAAAATACCTGTAGCCTGAATTTTTCTCTGACGGATCTTACCAAAAAAGATATAAGAATATTAGATGTAGCTAGCATAGTGGTAAAGGCTTGTAATCTCAGTATTTAGGAGGCTGATGCAAGGAGACTGCAAATTCAAAGCCAACTTGTTGTTTTTCAAGGTAGCTATGACATATATTTGTGAGTGAAATAATTTTCTTAAGGAAGTACCGTATGGATCTTTGCTGAAATCAGATTGGCCTCATTAAGTAATGGCTATGCAACTTTGGCTCAGTTTACTCAGCCTCTTGAAATCTTGTTTGCTAGCCATATGTAATGGCACATCCCTATAATCTCAGCATTTAGGCAGGAGGATCATAAGTTCTAAGCCAGCCTGAACTATGTAGCCAGAGGCATCGTTTCCAAAGAACAAAAATAAGTAAGTCTTGTTTTCTTGTTTATGAATGGGTAGAATAATATCAACTTAGGGGAGTTGTAATAATTGAATAAAGTCATCTGTAATACTCTGGGTATATATTAGGTGCTCCATGAGTGCCCTTTGTGCCCTTATCTTAGCATATTGCTGGGCACACTGTATAGTATTTGGATAAATCAGAACTCACGGTAGCTATTATTCTTATCTCTACTTCTGAGTTCCTGTGACCTACAGACCACTTAATTATCCTCTCCATATTATGTGGAAATAAATGTTAGAAAGCATGCAAGCGTATTTTTAAAATAATTGTACCCTTTTTTCTTTCCTCATTAGAGAACTCTTTCTGAAGACTAATGCCCAGTTGACAATTCGTTGCAGGCAATTACTCTCTGAGCTTTCCTACATTTACCCTGTTGATTTGGTAAGTTTAAAATTTTCTGAAAATATTTTTCTTCTTGCAAAGATGATTTCCATTTGAAATTTCCTCTCAATGAAAAAAAAAAACTTGTTGCTCTAGTTTTAGTCATATGCTTTCTCATGATCAGTTCAGGAGCTTTTGTCTATTTAAAATGTAGATTGAGACTTAGTTGGCATTAGGTTCCAAAGTTTTATTTTTATTTTTTATCAGTTTGGTGATGGGATGCATGAATTATCATCAGAAATAATACTAAATTATTTATGGTTTCTCTAGAATCTTTTTACTGAATCATAGTATTCCCTACTGTCATTTCTCACACATAAGTGCAGATGCGTATCATTGCTTTAAAAATGTAATCGCTAATTTATACTTATTGGTGTTCATTAAGATATTCCTGGGGGTAATTATCAAAATGTTACATTTTGAACCTAGTTTCTTAGAATATATACAACAGGTAAAATTTAAGTAAAACTAATTAGGATTCTTTTTTAGAGGACCAAATCTGTTAAATTCAATGGTTCTCTTGTTAATGAAAATTGATTTAAAAGAGTTACTTTCAAAGAAGAAAGTTAGTAGCATTTGAGTTTGCTCACAGAATCTTACTCAGTAGAAATTAGCCAGAAGATATTTCCGTCATAATTTTATATGGCTTCTTTGGGTATGATATCTTAAATATTTTTATTATAAAAAATTTCAAGTATGCATATATATATATATATATATATATATGGAGATAATACAGTAAATCATGTAGTCATCACCCAGCTTCAACCATTATGATAATATTTTGAGACTATGATAGTATGACGTCAGCACTAACCTACTGAATCCTTTGAGATTCTACTTAGTGTTTCTTTGCTTTATATATGAAAAGAATTAATTTCACTCTTTGGTTAAATTCACAGAATGAGCATAAGGATTACTTTGTATGCAGTGTCAAATTGCCTAATTCTGAGGACTTCCAAGGTATTTTATTTCTTACTTGTAAAGATTTGGTATATAGCAGTGTAAGGGACTAGAGTTGTCTTGGAATGCTGGTTGCCTAGCACTTTGTCCAAAAGGGTCTTTGGACACTGTGTCTCATCCCACTTAGAAGTATGTAAAGTCAAATTCCTTGATGATGGGTGTAACAGGATATTTGGTTTAATCATGAAAAAAAAATTATTCTTTGTATTTGAAATTTAAAAGAAAATTGTTTTTTAAATGTGTGTTAAGCAAAACAGGGAGTAGGGTTCTTAAGAATACTAAAAATCTCCCTATCCTTTTTGTTTGATTTTTATTAAAAATTTTGTGTGTGGTTTAGAAGCAGAGAAACAGCAAAGTTTGATCTGCTCATTTGCAGTCATTTTCCTGCTAACTTGAAAAGCAATTGAAATTGAAATTTTGTAGCATTCCCGCTATCATAGGTTTAATTTACTATACTATCATTTCTCTCTTCTTGCATTAAAGTGTTTTGGAATATGATTCCTAGTAATTTCTATATTTTAAAATTTTTTTTTCTATTCTACAAGTATGCTCACAAAAAGAGATTATTTTTGATAGCAAAGTGGTTTTTTTCCCCTTACCCTAAATGATGCTTTGAGGCTTACTAAATATCTTTATAAATGATTTTCAAAGCTAGCATACATAAGATTTATTTGGGAAGAAGTTTATTAAAGAAGAGAACTTTACTAAGTTTGATCAGGACTTTCTTCCATTTCTCTTTAAAGAAACTGCTGTTATTTGTGGTCCTTTGACATTTAGACTTTTTAAATTAATTACCTCCATGGCCTTATGTCAAATAAGTAGTTGGGATGTGATATAGGAGAGTGATAAACCAGGAGTTGGAAAACCATGTAGTTTGGAGCAACTTTGAGTTGATTTTCTTATCAACTATCTAGCGTGGACATATATCCTACCTGTCTTACATGATTCTTGTGAAAATTAAGTGAGCTATACCAGTATCTGTAAATAAGAAGTTTTGCCTTAACTGTAGTCCTCACAAAACCAAGGAAAACCTGTGAGAAAAGTGTCATTCAGGGACTTGCTCGAGACTACAAAGCCAGGTAGTGATATAGCTGGGATTTGTATGATTCCATTGTACAATGCTCCTTCAAGCCTCTGCAAGTTTCACAAATGTACTTTACTGTTAATTTTAGTCAGTTGTAATGTCTTGATGCCCATGGCACACATGTTCCTCATTCATTAATTGAAAAAAAATAGTTATTGAATAACTTTATGCCAGGCACTGTGCTGATTTTAAAGAATACAATAATGAAAAAAACAAACATGTTCTCTCCTTTCATGAAGCATACACCTTATTGAGGAAAACAACCAATAAATAGGAAAATAAGTAATTACCGAGTATTCAATGAAAGAATATGCTATCGTAGAGGATGAGGGAACCTACTATAGATAAAGCCATCAGAAGACCTCTCTGAGGAGAAACATTTGACAGAAAATTTAAAGGCTGAAAGGAGCCAGCAGTGCTACCGCTGGGGAAAGAGCATTCTTGGGACAGGGGACAGTGAGTACATAAATCATGACCAAGTAGACACCTGAAACTCAGAGCAGGGTATCGAAGAAAAGACTTGTATTTTATTTTTTTAAAAAAAAGACTTATATTTTAGGCAAATCACATAATCTCTCCTCTTAATTTCTTTGCCTATAAAATGAGATAATATTTGTCTCTCTAATTTATTGTGGTGATTGAGGTAACATTTGAAAGAGCTATTCATATAGGAGGTACTCAATAAATATAATTGGAATTAATTACAAAGGGGAAGGGTGAGCAGAGTGGGGTGTAAGAGAAGGCAGGGAGGGAGGGAGGAAGGGAAGGGAAGGGATCAGAAGGGACTGATCAAGGAATCAAACAGACTGTGGCTGGACCATAGTGAGCAATGGGAAAGGGTTATGTTAGTGGAGGCAGGAGAGATCATGAGGCCACTGTAAGGAACTTCTGTTTAATTCTCAGTGAAGTGGGCAGTGCCTGAAGGAATTCAAGAAGGGGCATGGCATGTGCTGAGCTCTGCTTGAAACACTGGCTGCTAAATACCAAATGATTGGAAGGGAGCAGAAAGGGAAGCAGAAATAGCTGTAGTGGTGGTCTCTTATTTTAGTCCACTCACAGAGGTTTTGTGATTCTATTTTTGTTTTGTTTAAGGTACCTGTTTCCTAGTTTTTCCTAGCATTTATAGCTGTTTACACTTAGAATGTCCAATTAAGCCAAATACATTCTCCATACCCTTTAAAAAAAAACTAGTGTAACTTTTTAATACAATTGCTAAAAAATGAAATGAGAGATAAAGTAAGTGTTTAATTTTACTCTCTATAACCCCTCAAAATTAGAAATTTTAAGGGCCAGGGATTTAGCTCAGTGGTGCCACCACTTGCCTCATGACCACAAGGACCGGAGTTCAATCCCTGGTACCAAAAAAAAAAAAGAAACTTTAAGAGGCATATGTAATAGTGTTGAACTTTAAAGTCACACGTTAGCATTATACAAGGCACTTCCATATAGTAAATGTGCTGCATGCCCTGTTTCTTATCTACTGTGCTAGATGTTGAGAGTGTATAAGAAGATTAAGATGTGGAGCCATCTTCAGTGTTATTATAGTCCTGATGAGGGCATTAGATTTGTAATCTGGCCCAGAAATATTTATTGAATCCATAATCTACATCAGGTACTTAGAAGGTTGTACCAGGTATGGGAGAGACAAGTAGGAACAATAAGTTTTATCAAGCGGAGTTCAAGAAAACCTTTGTAGGGAGATGATACCTGAGCCATCATAATTGATGAATAGTATTCTCCTGTGGAAAGAAGGATAGGAAGATGCTTTAGATTGGGTTACTATGGAAACATGGAACATCATACATGATGTTATCACAGTTATTTAAGTCTCACAGTTATATTTCCTTCTCTGAAGAAAGGAATTATCTTCAGTTCCTTATAAAACAAGAAAATTGAGGCTCAAAGAGATTAGTTCATTTTTTTAAGGATTCATATTAGCCAATGGTAAAACTTAAATTATCACAGACCTTTCTGATTTTTATGTCCAGTATTCCTGTCATGAAGTAGTTTTCTTCCTTGTTTTGAATTATAACCTCTTCTAAGCTTCTGACAGCTCTTTAGCAGCTACATTTCTAGCAGAAACTTAGTGAAGCAACTCCAAACTGGTTATTCTGTGCTATTCATGAAACTTTGCTGGATAAACTTTATTCTGCATGGGTTGATACAGCTTGGGTAACTCCACTGTAGGGGCCCAACATTTGTTGTGCTTTTCTGAATGGGTAAGTTACTGTAGAGTATCCCACAGGACCTGGACACAGTGGGAGAAAATTGTCCAGTGAAGGGTATTCATCTGAGTTCCATTGACTGAGACATCCAGTTTAAAAATAAAAATGTTTGTGCTGTGTGTTTTTAAGTAATCCATAACACAAGAGCCTTTTGTGGTAATGAGACCCAGATTTCCTTCTGTGTCTGTATCCCTTTATGCAGGCATGATTTCTTGGAAAGGAGAGTCCATATGTCAAACAGTGTCTCATTGAAAACATGGACTGATTCCATAGATGCTGTGGCAGTGATTAGAGTCTTAAATATTTTGTCCTGTCTGGATCAGTGGGTGCTTGGTTCCTTAACAAATCAGCTGCCTCAGTGATTGGGAAGGCAGGATGGTAAGAGCTTTTAGATCACTTATTGTACTTGGATGCATTTTAATATTTTGTCCAACATATAAACCAAAAAAACATTTGATTTAATTTATAATGTTGTCATGGCCATTGCGTGTTTGTGGAATTTATTGTCATAAAAATTGTACAAAGCTGCAGCCTTCTGAGGCTTTCTATATTGAAAAAGCAAATCATGAGTACTTATTAATGAGGAAAGTATGCACTTTTGTTTTGTTTTTAAGCCCCTTAAAACATTGCGTGAATTTGTAACTTTTTCATATACCCGAGTCTTACAGTTTATCCCTGTTGGTCTGTGGAGCATCCACTCCCCTTCCAACTTTTTCTTAGCAACAAAACTATCATCTGTGACCCTCCTAACCCAAAGAGCAGTATAAGAAACAAAAAGCTGTGGGCTCTGCACTAGGTGTTATGGACGTCATCAATGCTTACTGGAAAAGCACACCCCAGAGAGCCATGTTTTGGCTTTGGCAGGTAAAAAAGTCTTTCAGATCTTGGAATGCTTGAAACCTTAAACCTTTTGGTTTTTTAGCTAAAGTGATTGGCAACAGAATGTGACATCTGAGGTTGCATGGCCTGCAATAGCCATAATTAACCACATGAGTTCACATTTTCCCACTAGAGGTTCAGTGGTCTTGGGGTGATGAAAGTGACTTCCCTACCAGGAGGTGGTTTTCCTTCTGAGGGTATTGGCATACCCTTGGGCCCTGTAATGCTTCGCCCATGGTCCTTTTAAAATGCTTTTTAATATAAAGCTTCAATATTGGAAATCCAACTCCACAGTGTTTAACAGTGAGACTGTGATGGAGCACTGTGGCCTGGAATGGGAAACAACCTACAGTTTTTAATAGGTGGAGCAGGGAGTCTTGTGGCCACAATGGTGAGTGTGAATAACCTGAATCAAAGCTGATTTCCAATATGATTCAATTCTCATTGTTTGCTGTTGCCTTTTGGCTTTTGGTTTCTCTTAAAGATGCCTCTTTATGCTTAAATTTAAGCAGTATTGTTTTGTTCATCAGAAGGAAGTGATATTAGAAGACTGATCCCTTATT